GAAAGAACTCCTGCACACCCATGTCCTTTCACATTTTTTCTTTTACCATTCTATACATTCCCTGTAAATTTCTATCTAGCTACATACAGGTTTGAGCATTCCTAAACCTTTTGAGGTCCTTTCGCTTCCATTTTTCTCCCTTTCACATGCTGTCCTTCTCACTTTCTAATACGACAAGTCCTTTCCCACGCTTTTAACCCTGCCTTTCCATTCTGATGACAATGCCCAAGTCTTTCTGACTACTGCCCTCACCAAAGTTTTCCTTTTGATTTCAGGAAGGACCCCTCTTTCATCTCTAAATGCTTTTTTCAGAGGCCAGCAAGCTCCAAGACTAGATCTATCTGTCTGACTTCCCTCTATCTATCTGACAGTTTGGTCTCGAGTCTGTAATTTTGTCTTAGGGATTTTGTCTGACCTCTCTACTTAAACTATACACATTCTAGGCCAGTGGTTCTCAACCGTTTTAGATTCGACGCACCCCTGGAAAGACTTGAGGCACCACTTGGAACATGCCAGCCTTTAGCTTCCACTTCCAACAGAAAAATAACAGAGCAGTTTTTCCTGTTGCAAAGAACTCAGAAAGATTTTCTTTTTGAAATCTCTGGGTTCATCTTGTGAATCATGTTTGTAAACCTAACAGCGCTAACATTGTGTGGTACCTCATGGCATTGTCGAAAGGATCTTCAAGCACCACAGGGTGTTGTGGTACCCTGGCTGAAACTCACTGTTCCCTGATCAGATCTGTTCCATGATCTCTCTCCTCCTTTCCTCTCCACTCCTCTCCTCTCTTTTCCTGTTATATACTTTGAAGACAGCTGTTAGCCTGCTGAGACTGCCAAATATGTTTTGACAAAAAAAAATCCTTGTTGAAGGATGGGGAGGGTTGTTAATACACTTATTTGTACTTTATCAAACTTAGCAAAAATGTTTCACTTGGTTTTAGTTTATGGATGGATGGAAGTTCAGGGCACTCTTATTTCTGATTAACTGGTTTTTCCATGCCTAGTTTAATGTGCAGTGCACTTTTAGATCAGAAGCTAAATATAAGCCTGTGGAGCACTTACTGCATCTTTCCCCATATTTGGCAATGTCTGACATCCCACAATTATTTTACATGGATGCTACTTCCAACAAACTTGGCAGTTTAAAAGTGCTGAATCTTTTTGAACAAACTGTAGGGTTTTCTAAAGGATTAAGAGATGCTCACACTTTTCTTTTTTTAATAAAAAGACCAATAGAAATTTTCTTTAAAGTAACTCAGATCAATGTTGCAGTATGGCTATATGATATAATAAAGGGGATGTGTTGAATGTTTGTCCTATGCTTGTTTTAAAATGGTTGTTTGTCATGCACAATGCTTCTGAGGGAATAGGTATTTTTAAGAATCAAGATTTAACAACACTCAGTAGGTGAGATGATTTTATGTCAAGCATTTGTTACCTGGGCCCAGACTAAACATGATCTATAGTGAAGCAGGCTACAAGGGAAAGTCCATGTTAAGCTCAAAGAAAAATAGCCCCTCTCCAAAGTCTTACACATTTCCTCTTTTTTTCTCATTCTTTTCCTCAAATTTTCTTCTCTTTTGTGGTGTGGAGACCCTTGCCCTTTCGGGATCAGGTGAAGAGATTCTTGTGGTATTTCTCACTAGAACTGGAGCTTACGCAATTGCATATCTCTGCAGTCTTTTTTCCCTTTACTGGATTTTTATTTTGCAGTACACGATTGATAAATTCTAAAAGTTGGAGGGGCTGAGAGAGGGAGGGGAAGGGGCAAAAAACTGCCTGCACCATAAAAACCAATGACAGCAAGGTCAAGGATTCATTAGACACAGAAACTGTGGTACCTTTTCTGCACTAGAGGTCATTCATCTTTGGAGACAGCTGTGGCTGAAGCTACATGAATAATTAAAAAAGGGATTCATCAAATCGTAAAAAATAGCCTGCAATTAATTTTTGCAAATATCTTACCCAAATTATCAATCTGGCTCCAGAACTGGGAAAGTCATTAAAAATATTCAGTGACATATCTAACAACTATTAAGACATTTGACCAAAAAACATTTTGAGAAATATTTCTGACCCACTGTACGCTGTGTGTGCTGGTTGAACAGCAATGGGATAGAGATGATGAAAGGCCAGCCCTTTAACTACTATAAACTGATGTAGCTCTGTTCCTGATTGATACAGGCTGAAGATTTGGTGCAAAAAAGGTCCATTTTAAGTGGTTTTTATGTCAATTGTTTGCATTGAGCTAGGAGATTACGAGCAAGTAATAGTTGCAGTGCTATACCATTAGGTAGGAAATCCGTCAGCCCTCTAAAGGTTGGTTAATCTAGGGTCTGACCCAGAACTCACTGGATTTAAATGAGAACATCTCCATTTTTTCAAATGACATTGGCTTGTACATCCATGCCCTCAATTACCATAAAGACCAACTTTAAAAAAAACCCCAACAATGGATATATGTGAAGTATCTTTTGATAATATATGCAAAATCTTTCAGTCCTGCTTTATTTTGATATTGGAAGAAAAAGGAATGCTTTCCAACTTTCCACCAAATCAAGCCAGTTCTCCTTAAGCAGACCTTTTATATATTTTTTGCATGGGAAGAGTGTATTTTCTCACTCCTCTCATTCAGAAATAACAGAACCATCTTTGCTCAGACTTTCCAGAACAGCCTAAACAGTAAGCTTCAGAAGGCTACAAAGCAACTGAGAAAAGGGATTGTGATAGAAACTGTTACACAACTGTAACCACAGCAGGCCACAACCAGCAATCCCCTAATTAAATCCATTCTCATGGATGAACTTCAAGTGCCAGTCTCCTCTACTACTACTTTTCTTTGACAGAAGTGTGGGTGGACTAAACTCACCCTAAAAAATAACATATTTTAGCCCTCTACAAAAGAGCTAGCCTATGCTATTTTGCAGTAAGATCTATAACAGAACCCTGATATTTATCTTAGTTAATTTTAACCCTGGAAGAACTGCAGATCCCAGCATGTTCATTGCCAATGAATTAAAGATGTGAAAGGTTGTCCTCAGGCAGTGGGTGTCCTGATCCACTAATCCAGTTAACATTTCAGATTTCAAAGTGACCCTGTACAAGATAGTTTCATTTCTATGCATGAACTTCTATGTTTACTTTCTGCTGAGAATAGTCTCTTTATAAGCCACATGGGGAAAAAAAAAGCAAGTGTTTTGCATAATCTGCTTAGTTAAATGGAGACTTTGTACATTACATGCAGGAAAATCTAACAAAAATGGAGATAACTGGCCTCCTTGTGACACAGAATTCTTGAAATGTGCTCCATTTTACTTGTTGTTTTTAATTTTTTAGATGCCATCTGAAAACAGGGATTACACACTGTTTCTGATAGAACATTAAAGGCTTGATTTCTGTTTACTTGTCACTAAGTACATACTGTATATTAATTGGTACAGTGAAATATTAAAAGGTGCCCTTTGAGTTAAAAAATGTCAGGGGTTATAAGTATATTATGTGCATACCACTGTGGGCCTAGTATTCAGCATAAAACAACCTTACTGAAAAGTGGAACATTACTGTATGATATGACTAAGTAATTGGAGTTCTACTTACGCTGAAAATTTGAAGTAGCACTGCACACTGATTTTTAGCTGGGAAAGCTTTTATCAAATCAGTGCATGTAGTATTCTTCATAAATGAATAATGTTGCAAACAAGGACATATCAGATGTCTGCAGTGGACAAAGCTTTTACTACTGTTTATGACTGGAAGGTAAATGAAAAGAATGAACTTTCCAGAGATCATTTTTTGTGTCTTCGTGAAGCCCACTGCCTGTTTTGATACAATGCTGCATTTTCCCACAAAGGGCCAGATCCAGTGACCACTGAAGTTGTTAAGAAAATCTTTCTGCTAATTTCAGACCAGGGACAAACTGACCCCTGCCCTGATTTCCCCCTTCTTATAAAATCATGGTGGACAGACAGACAGAAATTTCTGTGTCAATACCACTGACTGCCAGCCCAGGAAGACAAAATAAGACTGTCTTGGTAGTGGATCTGTGCTTTAGTCCAGTGATTCTGAATCTTTTTAGACTCAAGGCACCTTTTGTTAGACTTAAGGCACCCTTCAGAAAATCCCAGCTCTTGGCTTTCACTAATTTCTTGACTGTGGAAAACAATAGAGCAATTCTTCTGTTGCAAAGAACTTAGACCACAACAGAGCAGAATATTTTTGGGTTTATCTTGTGAATCATATGTAGGTGTTTGCACACCTAACAGTGTTGATGTTACATGACACCCTTAAAAGGATCTTGCAGTACCCCAGGTTACTTGGTCACTGGTTGAGAATCACTGCTTTAGTCATTTGTGAGGCTTGATGTGCACTGGTGCCGTACTCTGACCTGGAGAATGTGAGGCATGGCTCGTCATCTTAGCACTACATAACACTACTTACACTAACTCAGCAAACTCAGACTTTTCTAGTGAAATATAACAAAGAACTGTCTACTACTGCATTTACTCCCTACACAGACTCTTATGAAAGATAATGGTAAAACACCCCGTACTCAAAAAGAGTATAGTGATTGCTCTGTAAATGAAAAATGCCTTTTTGCCAAGGCAGCTACTATTTTCATTTCAGCAGTGCATAGATTGTCCTATAAAACTGGGTATCAAAAATCTAAACAAATTTCCACAGAAAAACTGCAGTTGGTTTCCTCTCTTGTATAACATACTGCACTAGCATATTTTTGTCCCTAGCTATGAGCCAGGAAAAAAATCATACAAAATTGTGCTATGACACAAGAGAGCCCCTCCAGAAATAGTTTTAATGTCCAAGTACAGTGTGAATGATTTATAAACATTATAAATACTATATGAATTCATGAGGTGTATGGTAGACTGCAGTGTTACCAAGGCTACATGCAGTGATTTCTTGGCTGCTTTTTTGCTTGCTGGGAAACATGTCAATAAAAAATCATAAGCACACAAAAATATCAAAATAGGAGATAGTTACCTAACATGATGAAGGGAATTCCCAGGAACGTGGAATTGTATTTCCCACCAGTTAGATTAATGATTCCAGCTGCAGTCAGAGTGGCTAGGCTTATTGTTAACAAGCCTAGGAGACCAAGCCAAGGTTTGCTACGGACACAATCCTGCATGGAGCAGCAGAGTATAGCCAAGCTGACCACAAGTACTAGACTTGTGATCAGGTAACGTTCTGACACCCTGCTAGTCTTCTGGAAATCCTCTTTCAGTGAAGAAGAAGTGAAGGGATACATTTTGACTTTCCTGTTAGATTTCTGGAAAAGTTCAACAGTGTCGCAAAAAATGGATTCCCACTTTTCCGCTACCATGTCATTCAGGGAGTTGATTGCCTGCAAGTAGTAGGTGAGCTGAATGGCTTCTGCAGACTTCACCCGATCTTTGCTGTGCACAGTAACTCCACCAAGCTGGTGCCCATTATACACTTCCCTGCCATCCTTTAAGTGAGTGATTGGATATGTGATAGCAAAATTTGTTCGATTAGAAGAACGAGCGGTCTTCAGTTCCTCCAATACGTGCACTATGTCATCCACTATGCAAGTCTTGTCGTTATTCAGGATACATATATGGGCAAATGTGTAATTGAAACCAGGTCTTTGTACTTGGATCCTGGTCACAGCAGAGTGCAACTGTAAGGGAAGGAAAAATCACTCACATTATTCATCAGGTAATCATACTAGCAGGCAAAAAACAGCAGTAGCTTTGTTAAGTTGGGTCATGACAGATGATCATATATCGCTGTGTAATGTACACTTGTTTTGTATACTGTGTAAATTATACTGGGACCAGAAATAGACGTGCAGCTGTCCGGAGCTTAGCTCATGCAGTGGGCTGTGCCTTGCCACCAAGGGGAAATAATCATAGGGTTAATAACCTGTTTGCTACCAGAAATGAATGGAGAAAAGACAAAACTTAAACTGGTAACTTACATCAAAGAAGTTTTACTTCTGGTTCTAATCAGTCTGGGTAATGTTATCTTTGTGTAGGGGGTGGCATACTTTGTTTTCTACTTTTTTATACCAATATAATAACTGTAAATATTTAATCTGCCCTGGGTGACACTGTTTCCCATTGACTCTAAAAATATATCTTTTTAGTTTTTGCTATAATAATAGTAAGAATTTTATAAATATGTATTACAGTGTTGATGTTTTTCTCCAGAATCCTTTACTCTTAATCATTTTAGCCCTATACAATTGCTTTGTGCTTCTGCCATTCAACTTCTCTAAGAAAACAAAGCAAGAAAAACAATTCTATGATACAGAGCTCCATTTTCAAGTGACCTATTGGATACAAAAGGGATAGCTACCCTACCAACCATTTTATGGACCTCAACAATTACCATTATTATAATATTACTTCCTTGTCAGCTATCAGCTATGCTGTATAAAAGAGACATGGCAGTTCATTTCAGCGAGCCACCTGCGTGGCAGCATGTCATGGATACTATTGATTGGCAGTAAAAGGAGTAGCACTCCCTTAGAAGAAAAAGAAGACTACAGCTGCTTTGTCCTAAATGCAGGGCTTGCCATGATAGCAGGACTAAACCAGCTGGCATTAATTGCTTTTAGTTCACCCCAGCAAACCCACAGCAACTCTGTCAAAGAAAGAAGTGGTAGAGGAGACTGGCACTTGAAGTTTATCCATCCATGAGAATGGAAAGGACTTAATTAGGGAACTTCAGCATGCAACCTGCTGTGGTTACAGTTGTGTAACCGTTCTATCACAATCCCTTTTCTCAGTTGCTTTGTAGCCTTCTGAAGCTTACAGTTCTGTTTAAGCTTTTCTGGAAAGACTGAGCAAAGATGCTTCTGTTATTTCTGAGTGTGAGGAGAAAAGAGTGAAAAAATACATTCTTCCATGCAAAAAATATAGACAATCTTATGATCTCTTTGTATAATTTTCAGTCAGGAGAAAGCAGCAAGACAGTTGAAACAAAGCAGCAGAAGAATCATAACTATGGTGGAGGGTTTGTCAGGATTCTGCTGCCAAATAATTTTAATTTGGCAGTTAGATGTCTTTGCAAACTGTACATTGTTTATGTTTCTTGTGTTTTCTGGCTAACCTTATGGGGCTATAGTCTGTGCTGCTGTAGTTGTGAAAAGGAATATCCAAATCTCCTTTCTGGAAGCAGCTGAGGACCCTTTACTATAAGGCAAAACCTACCTTACACTTCTGACCCACGGAGAGGAAGTGGGTTGGTCTGGAGTGTGATGTACTCTAACAGTTCTGGCTGATGGAACAGCCACTGAAGCTGAGTAATCTGTTGATACAAGTTAGAGCAGCATCAGTACTTCTTTAACTAGGGCTTCAGTGACTGGGAGCTGGTTTGGAAACCTGAAACAGCAAAGCTGAAAGACCTGCCTGCTCAGTGCAGAGATTTTGCAATCAAACAAAAGACTCTGGCTTCCCGCTTGAGTTTTACAACTGTTTGGCACTGGGAAAGTATAATTCCCTCATCTGTAAAGTGGGGGTGAGACCTTTTCTGCTTGGAGGCTGGTAGAGTGAATTAGCAAGGTCTATAATTTTTTTTTTTAATATGATGAATAACTAATATCTGCCCCTTGATTCTTGGCAGGAAAAGAGGAGAAAAAAATCTCTCCTTTTGTATACTACATATATTGCTCTCTATGGCCCCCAGTGAGATGGAGAGATTTTAGATCATATAGATAATGAAGGGACTGAGATCAGGCAGTATTTAGAAAAAATACAGAAGCAAAATTGGCAGAGTAAATGATAAGAGAAACTAGAGTAGCAAAGAAGGCTCTGCTGGTGGAAATGAATTAGTTGTCACTACACAATGGCTGCAGCGTCCAGATGAGCATGGATGTTTGGTTCCTCGGGGACAACCAGCAGTGGCACACCTTGTGCCACTGCTACTTGTCCCTGTGGAATACCTGTGCCACGTGTACTCTGGCATGCGGCAGATTACCCTGGGTGGGGTAGGGGAGGTTGGAACCAGCAACTGTGCCGGCTCCAGCAGCCTTACCTGGGGTCCTGGGAGCTGGGGAAGCTGTGGTGCTCCTGCAGTTGGGAGTGTGGCTGGCAGCTGGAGTGTAGCTCCAGCTGGCCTGGCTCCAGTTTTGGGCTGCATATGCTGCCAGCATGCGGGCTGCCCTGTTTTTCCTCGTGGGTGTTTTCCATGTGGGTGTTCCCCCTACCCTGGGGAGCACCCGAATGTGCAGTGTGTGGCACTGCAGATGGGTCAGCAGCGCCACATACTGCACAGCCGTGCTCTTCTGGATGCAGCCAGGGGTGTTATCATTAGGTCTGTTTTGCAGACCAATTATCCATAGCTCTATTTCAGTGTGACCAGCATTTTACCCTGTATTCATAAAAAATGCGCACACACTGTATTATTTATTTTACCAAAGATTTGATTATCTTTAATTATTCACTGTGGGGATAACTCTAATTTAAACTGCTTCCATTTCTTAAGATGATATACATAATACATGATCTGTAAAAAGATACAAAATTCCTGTTCTTTCAACATGTTTATCTTGCAATTATGGAGGCTTCTATCCCTTGTACTTGAGTAGCTTTTTAAGTGTCACAGAATGGCAGAGTAATAACGATTGTGGAAAACTAGGTTGGGAAAAAGAAGTGAAGAACCATATATCCCCAGACGATTAAAAGGATATCATGTTTAACCATGATGAAAAAAGTCCCTCCTGATTAAGAGAATACAGGTCAAGCCTTGTGATTAGAGATTTTCTGAATAACAATTTTGCCAAATAAGTAACAAAGCAAAAGAAAAATAAACAGAGAAAAATGCTGGAGGGTTGACATTTGTTTCTTCATTGTGTGTCCATCATATCAATGTAATGTTGGTGCTCATAGTGTGAGAGGATTACAAACGACTTAGTGGAACCCACAAGCATCTGGTCTCCACTTGTTCCACAGAGTACATATGTTCAAAGGATTTGGGAGAATTCTCCTGGGTTTGTTATTTTGGTAGAAAAACTTACCCAGAGACCTCTGAATGCTGAGCTGCTCTGCAGCCAGAGAGGCCCTATGCACACATCTCACTTTGCTCTATAGGCCCCCCAGTCTGCCTGGAGACAAATGACAGCAGTACATAGGGCAGCTGTAATTGGATGACCCAGACTGCTTTAAGAAGTGTCTCCCTGCAGCACAATGAGAGGGGATTATGAATGGGCTCTCTGCTTGGCTGGAGCAGTATAGCCCAGCCCAAGTGACATACTGTGTCCCTAGACCAGGGGTGTGCAAAATGTAGCCCGTGGGCCAGATGAGGCCTGCCAGGCAATTCTATTCGGCCCGCGGGGCACCTAAACAGTTTAGAAAATTAATAGTTATCTGCCCCTGGCTGCCTGTCGTGCAGCCCTCGATGGCTTGCCAAAACTCAGTAAGAGGCCCTCCGCCTGAAATAATTGCCTGCTCCTGCCCTAGACTCATGGGGGTGGGGGAGGACAGGACTGGGAACAAAGCATGCTGGGATGCTAGAGGACTGTGTTATAGTTTCTCTCCAAAGGTACAGACCCCAGAAGCCATTTAGCCCTGGTTGTTCCTGGGTTATTTTTCCCTTGGAGTAGCCATTTTGCTCTGGCAGACACATCTTGAATGTCTCTACACTCATCTTTTCACCTGGAGACCAACAGCTCTCCCAAGAGAAACTGAATGTCTATTCATGACCTATGTGACTTGCTCAAGGATATTTGGGGGCAGGGCAAAAAACTGGACCTCAGTTTCCCAAATTCTAGGCTTGCACCTTTACCAGCAGGCCTTCCCTCCTCCTCAGTAAGATGACTCCCCTGTACCGTCACAATTCTCTTTCAATCGCCTGTTCTATGTTTCAAGTTAAAGGCTTCTATCTGCAAAAACTATTTCAGGGATATTTGTATATTCCTCAACTTTCTATTGTGATAGGATTAGTCAAATTTTCTAGTTTACTGATATCAAACAAAGATGCCCATTGAAAGCTGCCAATAAATGTATTTCTCCAGCTCTGGTTTTAAAAAATTGCCATCGAAATGAAGTTGACAAGAATGAAGATAAATGAAATGATTTATTGCCTGATAGGATAATATAAATGGGGAAAAGAAAAGAATTAGGGATCTAACTTTTATAATAATATGTATTATATTATTAATATGAGTAAATTTATTAATATGACTCATTATTAAAATGAGTACATTTTCTGTACGTGCTTAGGTATTCTGCCTCACTTCTGCAGTTTTATATTGTCTCATATATCTGAAACCCTCTCTTAGTATTCTGGTTAGAAAGTAACGTCTCTGTCAATCTCTTTATTAAAAGACGAATAACTAAACATCATGTTTAACAGCTCAGGAAGGCTATCGGTTCACAAACAGGAACCAGATTTTGCCATGTAGGTACAGCCCTTCCCTTGCCAGTTTGGCAGACCAAATGGAGTGTAACATTGGCTCAGACAGCTAGAAGCGGGTATCCCAGGATGCTGGGAAAAGCTGACATGGCGTGGTAACAATCTGTGTGTCAGGCTTCTTTAGCACAGGGAGATTGTCAAGAATGCACCAGGACAGAAAGGAGAGTAGCCAGAGAGCACTGTGCCCTGGCAAGCTGTGGACAGTAAAATACCCACTGAGTCTGTTATGAATTGGTGCGGTTTAGAGGAGCTCCAAGGCTACTCTGGGTTGTGCCAGGAGCCAAAATGGCTACCATCTAACATAGGATTGGCAAGAGCCATAGAAGAACTATAAAAATACTTTTCCCTCCACGTCACTTCACCCTTCCTGAGTGTGCTGAGCGTGACTCCTGCATGCCTGAGGATTCAGCCATAGGGAAGGCTGACTCACACGTCGCTCATCCTTGTGGTAGGGACATTTAGTTCCCTGCATTTCCCATGGGCTACTTTCAGATCAGAGGTTAGACCCTGAAGCTCTGTTGCTTCAGTGCACAATGCATTTGGTAAGAGCAGGGGTTTGTAGCAGCATCATCGTATAGATGTTGCTCCCCACACTGCTCTGCATCAGCTTCCTTGGCAGCGGGCTGCTGCCTGTACCCCAGCAAGAGTCATAGTTCCATGGCTTTAAGTATCCGGATAC